GTCCCACAAATTCCTACTAAATCAAAGTAAGAAAAATAAAAATAAACAATACTAAAAAACCAACCCAACTCTTCATATATGTGTGTATATATTATCTGTATAGGTAAAAATCTTCATATATGTGTGTAAACAAAAACCCATAAAAGTGCACCCAAAATTAAAGAAAAACAATACACACAGGAAAAAAAAACAAAGAAAAAAATTGGTAAAAATCTGTAATCAATATATAAAAAGTGCAACCAACTCTTCAATTGATGATCTCTGTGGCTTCAAAGAAAAAAAACAAAGGGATGAAAACATAGACTAAAATAAAGTATCCCTTTCTTTCTCAATATATATATTTTTTTCAGTTTATAATTAACCCCATAAACTGCACCAAATAGAGCAGCATGTACCCTAGCATTTATATAATCAAAATCAAAATCAATAATCAAAATCAATAATCCCATCAAAATCAATATAATCAAAATCAAAATCAATAATTACAACATCAATTAGAAACTTTATAAATATTAATAATTAAAATTGTAAATTTTTTCATGAATATTATTTTTTTTTTTTTTTCTGAATTCCACTACAGTGCAATTACTCCAAATTAATACTTCTCCATATATTACTACACATTACTCAAAAATGAAGTTTGAAACTTAAATATAGATAATAAAAGCTTTCAATGCAGATTAGTGACAGAATAGAAATTACATAAACATTCACATTGGGTTTTTGGGTTTTTAAACTTAAGCAAAATAGAGAGCTTTTCGGTGCAACTAATTGTAAAGCTCTTCCATGGAAATCATGTTTGGAAGAATATACATTTTCAAAACTCAATAGGTAGTTTAGCAAAACTGCTATCCCATTCATAACACCAGTTGTAACAAATTAATGCTTCTGAAACCCAATGAGTTCCAAAATCAAATCTATTCATATTAAACTCTAAATTAGAAAGTTTCATGAAAATTCATATAATCAAAATCAATAATCCCATCACTGAAAAAGAAACACCACCTAGTATTTCAGCATATTTCTGGTTTGAACATAAAAGAGATTCAATCATAGGGTAAAACAACTCATCAGAATCATACTAAATCGGACACACTTCATCATATCATACACCACAACATCAGCATTTCTGGCTCCAGTCATTCAACCGACCTTTTTGAATGATGCCATTCTCGTTCAAGTATTCAACAAATTCAAGTATTCAACAAACTCTTCCATATATATACACAAAGGGATGATCTCTGTGGCTTCAATATATATACACACAAAGAAAACAAATGGATGGTATGTGAAGTGCCAAAAAAATTTGGAGATGAACAAATATAGTGAACCTCACCGATTTGTTGCCGCGATGATGCCGATTTGGACCTACCGATCTAGCAAGGCTAGCACCTAACAAACTCTCCATCTGCAAAGTCGCTGATCTACTCTTGACTAAGAGAGAGAGAGAGAGAGAGAGAGAGAGAGAGAGAGAGAGATGGATGGAAGGGAAGAAGAGATCTGCTCTTGAATGAGATCTCCTCTTGAATCAAAACAAAGAAACTCTTCTCTTGAACACCGTAGGATTGAATCACCATTTTAAATCCACCATTGGATTGATTCAATCTAACGGTTCACATTTTGACACAGGGACAACAGTTCTATCAAAATTCAAAAACCACTCTCCCTTATTATCTACATATATATATATATATAAATCTTAATTCGTTCTTGATGAGGATTTTTAAATGAATGATGTAATTGCTAATTGAAGAAAACTCAAATAAGATATATAATTCCCATTCCCTCACTCTCTGACTTTTCTTAGTTGGCTTGACAATATGTCCATCAAGGGCTGAGAATCGCTGTTAAAACACTCAAGAATCAATTCTCCTCTCTTTGCCAAGTAATATCCCTTCTCACACCAGTTTCTTTATTTGACTCAAAAAGATACAAATAGACATTGTCCTTTAGGGTTCCAATTAGTGCTCACCATCCAGTCCCCATGCATAATAAGCAACAAAGGCATCAATTTGACTTTGAAGTCTAGGCGAAGAGAAGCTGGAATCTAACCATTGTTACAGATAACATCAGGGGACTGATCTGCCGTTGAAATTCTAAAATACCGAATTCAATGTTCTTAATAATTGTAGCAGTTGTAATAGAAATTGAGCTTCTATACTTACTGGATTTCTCATACATAATGTTCATTTATTACTTGATGTGTTTCTTATAATTGCTTCACAATGTTTCTAAACTATTTTCCTGTGTCTTCCTCGTTTCTTTTTTTCTTCACAGCCAACCTGTTGTCCTTGTGGGGACGAGCGTAGGGTTCCGTCATCATGTGGAAACTTCTGTAAGTGCTATCATATTCATTGTTAGCAATTAAATTTTTCTACAGTGTTTCTTATAATTGCTTCACAATGTTTCTAAACTATTTTCCTGTGTTTTCCTCTTTTCTTTTTTTCTTCACAGCCAACCTGTTGTCCTTGTGGGGACGAGCGCAGGGTTCCGTCATCATGTGGAAACTTCTGTAAGTGCTATCATATTCATTGTTAGCATTCTCAATTATCCTTGCAGGATTCAGCATATAGTTTTGTGGTAAGTGTCTCTAAATTTTATTTGAACTAGTTGACAAGATGATGAAGGGGAAGGCCAACACTGCACACTGTCTCCGATTTCCAGGTGATTGGTATGGCCTGGATTCTTTCTTTCAGTAATTTTGTTTTGATAGTTGGATCCATTAATCTATGAAATTTGTAATGATAAATTAAGATATGCAATGTGGTCAGGTGCATACATAAAAAAGGTTGGCAATTTTTTAAAGCAATTAATGGACATCATTTTTTGTAGGTCCATGTGATTGTCTGTTTTTGATTTTATGTTAAGTTGTTGGCAAAGCTGCACTTCTTGAAGTATCACAGAAGTTTTTCCAGTAGTGTCAAGTTTAGGATCTTTTTACTTGAATACTTTGTTCTGAACAAAATAAATCAAGATTATGATTATTTATGAAAATCAAATGGTGAGGAACTTAATGGATTATAACTAAATATTAAGGTTTATTTCATCTGCTATTTATCATTACTTACTTCATGTGGAGGCTGTAGCTTGTTAATACTAATACTATTCTATTTTGGGTTAGACACAATGGGAAACACATTGTGTTTAAATTTAGGTATATGCTTGTTGACTATTAAGATTTATTTCATCTGATATTACTTAGTCCATGTGGAGGCTGTAGCCTGTTAATACTAATGCTATTCCATTTTGGGTTAGACACAATGAGAAACACGTTGTGTTTGAATTTAGCTATATGCTTGTTGACTCAAGGTTTCCATTACTATTCTCAATCTTCAAATATCCTTTTTTGATGCCACATTTTTTTTTTCTTATCCATTTAGGTTCCATGTTTTTGGTATTGGACAGCGCTCAGTGGGATTTAGCATTCGGATTGAGGTGAAGACGGCATCTAAAATATCGGTGTGTAGTCTTTGTGCATCCTTATGCTATATCTGTCATCTGTCACTAACCTATGTGTTATCATTCAAGTTGTTGCAGTCAGCTTTTATAATTTTTCCTTCACACTGCACAATTTTCAGAGAAGGTTTTTTCCGATCTTCTGCTTATCCATCCAATTTCTTGACATAAACAATAGTTCGTCCTACTTGAAGTCTGAATTACGAAAATTAAAGGCCTGCCTTAGACATTTTAAAAAAATTATTATTGTCTTGAATTGAGATCAGCATTTCTGGTGTGAATGCCCTTATTTCTTACAGCTTTTATAATTTTTCCTTCACACTGCACAATTTTCGGAGAAGGTTTTTTCCGATCTTCTGCTTATCCATCCAATTTCTTGACATAAACAATAGTTCGTCCTACTTGAAGTCTGAATTACGAAAATTAAAGGCCTGCCTTAGACATTTTAAAAAAATTATTATTGTCTTGAATTGAGATCAGCATTTCTGGTGTGAATGCCCTCTCACTTAATGCTGGAACTCAAGTAGGTTTGATTATGTTCATTTCCAATTGGCTTTGTTCTTCTCAATATGGAAGGAAGATATGAAAGTTCATCACATTTCTGTGCTCTGTAGACCACTCCCCATATTCAATTTCTTCCTTATTATTTTCTTATGTTAAAGTATGTGAATTGCTGCACAGGTTAACCTTTACCTTGACTATGCTTAATGACCTGGCATGGCTTACATTCTGGATGATATCCTATTTATCTAAATCAATGATTATCTCATCAACATTTATCTTTATTTTCTTCCAAATAATGATTGGTCTGAGTATTTTTTTATATTTCATGTTTACTATATTCTTTCTAGTTAGATATTGAACTCAGCATATTTTTTAGAAGTTAATCAGGAAAATGCTTTTGGAGATTTTTGCTTACAGGACGTGATTGTGGGCCCTGGGAATAGAACCGTAACATCCAATGATAATTTCTTACGAGCAAATCTTATTGGAGATTATGTTGGATACACTAATATTCCTTCATTTGAGGATTACTACCTTGTTATTCCAAGTCAGGTATGCTAGCTTTGCTGATCTAATTTTGACTTGCATTCTTCATTTTTTTTTTTTTGGCTACATGGGGAAATAGAACACAAAAAGTTAATAAAGTCTAACAAAAGCAATTCTTGCTATATTTGCTAAAAGGAACTCATTCAATTAATCAGAGGGTGCACCAATTGGGCAAAGCCTAAGTCTGCTTCACCCCAATGTTACCCAATTGAGCTGCACAGCCATTCCTTGCCTGTAGTAATGCCCATATGGGACTTAATAAAAGTTGAGTTTACAAAACACAAAAAACTGAAGACAGCTTATCTTACATTCAGTTGTCCATATTTCTGAATTTGTCACTGTTCGACTCCTGGGAAAGCCCCACGAGGAGCGGTTCCCCAGTCCGTCTCCCTGTTGGCATGCGGCGACATGCTCTCACCATGGGAGCCACTCAAGTTTGTCCACTGACAGCCAACGGAATATGTTCACTATCTCAATGTTTGTCCACTGTTAATGGAACTGATTCAGCATGCATTCTTTTCAGATTCATCGGTTTTACAACCATACCCATGTCCAACATCCCTTGATCACAAAGACATTTACCAGTCCTAGAAACTGGGGGACCACATATTGAACTGGAACCACATTTGCTGAATGAAGTTTGAAAAAAAAAAAAGAAGGAATAAGTGTGGCTGGACAGCACGACTATTGTTTATGCCATAATACTTTTTATAAACTTGAATCATTATCACCAGAAAGATTTGTCTATGGGTCTAATTATGGCTGTCATACTGTCAAGTAGCTAACTCAGTCAGTTAATATACCTAAATTAAGGCATATTTATAATTGTGTTGACAATATTGTGTATCACCTTTTCTTGTTTCTTGCTGGTTCTAGTCTTATTTTATAATAGTTTATCTACTTGTAGATGTTATATTTCTTGTATAGTGTGCTGATTTTCTGGTTTGTATTAGTGAGGATTGATATTTTTTTTTTCTTGTCGATCTTTATTATACTGCTTTATGTTTTATATGGTTTCATGTTGCTGAGTGCATTCTTGTTTCTCCTGTTGAAGGGTGGCCCAGGTCAGCCACAAAATCTGGGAAGGAACTTTTCTATGTGGATGCTGATTGAGAGAGTTAGATTTACTTTAGATGGTCTTGAATGTAACAAAATTGGTGTGGGTTATGACGCTTTCAATGGGCAGCCGGATTTCTGCTCATCCCCATTTTGGAGTTGCTTGCATAATCAGTTGTGGAACTTCTGGGAGGTTAGTAACTTAAAACTGGAATTAATTACTGAGAATTCCTGCTATCATCCTAGCCATTCATGTTTAAAAGAATTTTGTTTTGTTTTGAATATCTCTGTCAATTGCATGTCTTATTGACATTTATAGCAGTGCTGATCAGCCATTTCCTACATAGCACAACTAATATGCCAATAGGGCACCTTATACCTCTGTGAAATATATCACCTTACCTATGTGAAATATATTTCTTCTTTTCCATTTGGAGGACTTTCACATAGATCTTGATCCTTTATGGGACATAGATTTTGATCCTTTATGGTGCAAAATATGCATGTTTCGTCATTTTTTAATGTACATAACACATCAAATGCAAACATTGTTAAACTAAGTGTTTCCCTGGTTAGATTTTTGTAATTTGTGTTGATTATTTTTCGTCTGGTTCAACTAACTGCTTTATTAGCAATTTTTTCTTCTACGATAGCAATCTTTTTTAAGAAATTGGAAAAGCTTTTAAGATGAATAATCTCGAGTAAATCATTTTTGTGGGCTGTGAATGTTTGGTCTTTAAATGTTAAGAATGCCATTTTGCAAGTCTCGTATTGTGGCTTTGACTTGATAAGAATCTTTCTTTTGACAGGCTGATATGAACCGAATCAGTAGGAAACAGTCACCACTTTATGTTGTGCAAGAGAGGTTTGAAAGGATAAACCAGCATCCAGTTATGTTTTAGCAACTATGGGTGTCATATACTTAAGGATGTCTATTATTTGGATTTTTAATCATTTACTATTACTGTTGTCTGCAGAATTCAGGGAGTCATTCATTCTCCATAGGAATAACTGAAGTTCTTAATACAAACCTCTTGATAGAACTAAGTGCTGATGACATAGAATATGTCAACCAAAGGTTAGTAGTTAATTCCTTGAGCTTAATGCCTTCAGATAATGACATTAATTTTTGGATATTATTATTATAACCAAAAGCCATGCTTCTGACAGTTCATGTGTTTAAAAAATCTTAAAATTTAACTACATATAGCCAGCTACATGAACAGTATCGAGTAGTAAATAGTAATACAAAAATAAAAATTCGTATTCTGTTTTTTTATTTTTTAATCATTCCATTCTACTGAGGTTCATATTGTCTGCTATGTCATAGACCATCATAAACTCAACCTGCATTCTCTTTTTGGCATTCCTCTTTTGCTGGTACTACTGCATGCAACTATTTCAACCCCCTCTTATATATATGCACTCATTTGATCTGATCTTCGTCATACACAATGGAATTATTTAACTCAATCCTCCATTTCCGCAACCTTTAGCCCTCCATGCAGTCCTTCTTTTAAAAAAGAAAATATTCTTTTTTATATTTATTGCCACCCATTTATCTTTAACATCATCATTTTCTCTGAGACGTTGCAAATTTAGGATTTGGAGCAAAATGGATTTGTATTTTTGTATTTAGCACACACAAACATGCGCATTTGATTGTTTCAGTTAGGCAAATGTTAACAGGTGCCCTGGGTACATTGTTTATAGTATGAGCATTTGAGTGAAAAGTGTTTTGGAAATAGGTAAAAAGGTTGAACTCTATTTTGAAATTAGTGAAAAGTGTCTCGTGCTTTTCTTTTTCTTATGCCCCATGGGCACTTTGTTGGCAGTATCCTTTTTGTTATTATATAGAATAATTTCAGTTATTATATTGAGCAAAATAAGGGCTCTAGCATAATGCGTTTTATGCTTTATTTACATATTCTAGTAGAATCCTCTTATGCAATATTGTTGGCTAGTTAGTGTTTTTTTTTCCTTCCTTCAAATGGTCCTTGTTGTATCACATATCTCAATATTTTTGCAGGAGCCCTGGAAAAATTTTAAGCATTACTGTGCCAACTTTTGAAGCCCTCACTCAATTTGGGACTGCTACCATCACTACTAAAAATATTGGTGAAGTGGAAGCATCATACAGCCTTACGGTATCCCCAATGAACCTTTCATACAGCCTAACTGTATCTTTCATGTTCTATCATGCAACAAAAATATATCAGTATCTTCCATGCTGAGCCCTATTGCTTGCATGTTGAGTGAGTTTATTTCTCTATGATGGATTCAATAATAAGATTTTATATTTGGGTAAAATGTCAGGACTTGCTAGATTAATTGTATGCATTACTAGATTTTGGAATTTCATTTTCAGGAACTATATTATTTCTTGATATTTCATGTGATAAATGGGAATAGTTAGTATAATGGAACAATTTTCAACTACAATGTGGAACAATTTGATTTTTAAAAAAAAATAGATATAGTTTTATAGAGGAGTCAGATTGGCATTATTGAGGTTGTTTAAATGCTTAATTTGTACATGCTGCTTCTATTTGAGAGTGACTGGATTTTTTCTTTTTCTTATTCTTGTAGAATTGTAACATCTGTCAAGGATTGACTTAACTCATTGTTTCTTAACTCACTTTCATTGAAGCCAATGAAACTCCTAGTTCGGCTATGATTTTCTCATTTATTCTACCCAAAGTAGATAATTAGGTATTTATGTACAACTGTAATATTAGTTTTTCAAAGACAGAATGTAATGAAATTTTTAAGATTCTCTTTTGTTTGGTTGCTGAGAAGGAACTGCTGAACAGTACAAGAGAAGAGTGACCTTGAAGTTTTACAACTGCCTTGCTGTACCTATTTTAGTATTTTCGGTTTTGTCAACAGCCAAAATTTACTGCAAGTTTTGATTTGAGGACAGCCATTTTTTATTTATGTGTTTCCACTAGTGCATAACGTCTGCTTGAGTTATAGTTGTTTTTCTGAACGCAATTGTAATGACAATTTTCATCTTGCAGTTTGATTGCTCAACAAGTGTTGGCCAAATGGAGGTATTAATTTGAAAACTTAAGTCCAAACTAGTGTCATGGATATAATTTCACAAGGGATAATGTTTTTGAAAATTTTAAAACATTGCAGGAACAGTATTACATAATGAAGCCAAAAGAAATTACAACTCGATCTTTCAAATTGTACCCTACAACTGATCAAGCTGCAAAATATGTGTGCGCAGGTATGATTGAGTACTAGGTTTACATGGCCCTTTTGGCTGCTTCCTGGAATGGTAAATAAGGTGGTAGTGATTCTAGTGAATGTCAAAGCTAAGTCCATGTAGTTTTGTTTGGTTGCAGCTATACTGAAGGACTCTGGTTTTAGTGAAGTTGATAGAGCGGAGTGCCAATTTACTACTACTGCCACTGTTATTGAGAATGGATCACAGGTTTGCCGGTAGATTTATAGTGATAAACTAATACTCTTTAAAAATGAAACTCTTATTGAGGCCATGGTACAGACATTTGTACTTACCTAAAAAGGTACATGCATTGACTCTGACTTCTGATAAGATCCCAACATATAATTATGTTTGGATTGAGTAATTAGCCAATCATTAGAATTATTGGGGCTATAACCAATGTGTATATACAGCCTTGTAGTTTTGCAGGAGTTTGATTCACATGCAATCTTGTTACAGATTCCTTTTCAACCACCAAAGACCAGTATACATGGTTTCTTTGAATCTATTGAGATATTGTGGAAAAACTTCTGGGATGGTTTGGCAGACTTTTTCACTGGCAATACTTGCAGGTATTTGTTTTGGAAGAACAATATCTATACTACATGTAAATCTACTGTCGTGTTTAGTTTTTTTTCACTGTTAGTGAACCTAGGACAGAATGTGCAAGTTTTGTCTATCAGATTGCATAGCCGTTTTGATTCCTTAATAATTATGTGTAGTTGATGTTATCATCCTGTCATGCATTTAATGATATTTCCATTGAGTTGAGCAGAAGGAAATGCTCTGGGTTTTTCGACTTCAGCTGCCACATACAGTATATTTGTATGAGTTGGATAGTGATGTTTGGTCTGCTTTTGGCAATTTTCCCAACAGGTGGTAATCTAACTAGTTACTTGAAATTACTGATAAATATGGTTGATCTCTGCATCTTAGAGCAAGCAATAATTCAATGTATTTCAATGTTGAGTTGCAGTGGTTGTGCTACTCTGGCTTCTACATCAAAAAGGGTTCTTTGATCCTCTTTGTGACTGGTGGGAAGATTATTTTCAGGCTGATGAACAAAGAATTGGTAATATGCGGAAGCATAGATATAATGCTGATGTTTCGAGAATACATCAAAAGAAACATCACAAGCTGCAAAGAAGGCATCATAAGTATGATACCCAAAAGAAGCGAAGAAGTTTTCATACCGAGCAGAGGCATGACCATTCAGAACTGGACACTGATTATTATTACTATCTTCACCATGTCCATAAAGACAAGCACAAACATGGCAAAACCAAGGGCACCCGTATCATGCGGCAGATGTACTTAGATAAAGGGGAGGTTGACCATGTTGGCCACCATAGACACAGAAAAGAAAAGGAAGCAATAGAAGGCTTGTCCAAAATTACTAGATATAGTGATGAAAATCAGACGGATCATTACAAGCACAAACATGGGCCTTTTGGTGAAATACATTCTAAGCTGCATGTTTAATACAGAAAATAGTTGGATTTGGATAGATATCAATGCATGTTACAGTTTATTTACACTTCACCAATTTAAAGCAAAGCTTTTTGTCATTCTTTCTTCTCTTTTCCCTTTAATTATTTATTTAGTAATGCTGAGCTTTCGACAGATGTAATATTCTAATACTAAGATTTAGAATGCATAAAGAGTGATGCAGAAGGCGGCAGCCCTCTAAGTGCAATGGAGATCACCAACCTAAGCCATGGACCTTCTTAATCACCTATTGGCCCCATCCCAGTGACAGATGTAATATTCTAATACTAAGAGAAGATAGTATGCGCAAAAAGGTAATGCAAAAACATTTATGCTCATTATTACAGGTACTTTCTTATATTGATGATTGTGTTCTGTATGAGACTTGTACAAACTTTTTTTCATGCCTTTCACATATTAGTGTTTAAATATAATAAACAAAAAAGCTTAAAAGCTTTGTTTTTTTTTAATGTGATCCTCATGAACTGTATTTCTTCAGCTTATTCTTAGTTTGTGGAGAGACCACTTTAATTGCTTCCCCCATTTATCCACTGTTTGAATGTTTTCTTGATAATAATCTCTTCCATAGCTGATGTTATGCCTCTAGCCGTAGAAATGAATTCTTTGTGCACTAACTGTTTTTGATTAAATAGCATTATTTGTTGGCTCTTGTTTCAATTCATTTTTCTCAGTGAACTGAACATGAAAACCCTTTGGAAATTGTAGACCAGGAGTTCGAACAATCTCTCCTCCTTTGATCGCTTGCCACCTGACAATTTCAAATGTAAAAGGTTTACTCTCTCTGTCTCTCTCATGCATAGTTGCTTAGACATTTAATATATGAATCTTTTACCTGTACTTCGTAACCAAGCAGTGGAGAAAGACAGCCATTTGCACTTTGGTGAAGTCCGTTCCAACACAAAATCTCATGCCACCCCCAAAAGCCATGAAATGTTTGGATGCACCATTCAATTCCATTCCCTATATGTCACCATTTTTTATCAGATGAGAATTCAGGAGAAAGACTGAAATTTTCAGAAGTACAACTGACAGCGGTGTCTGATTAGCAGTTAAATAATTGCCGGTGAAAATCAAATAAACAATATAAACGCAGGTAATTTGGAACAATCAACTTACCTCCCATCTCCCTGGATTGAATTGAAGGGGATCTTCATATTTGGCAGGGTTCAAGTGTATAGCTGGAGGACAGACCACAACCGCCCAACCAGCTGGAATGGTATAGCCTGCATTTATCCCCGTTTTATTTTAAGGTATGTCCAAATGGATGTGTTTTTCTTTTGTATGAACAAATTCAAGTACTATGGCTAGAAATTGACCAGTTAACTCTATACATACCCTTAAAATTGATTTCTTGTAATGCTTTTCTGAAAATTACTGGAACTATATTTGCCATCCTGACTGTTTCATTGATGAACTGCAATTTTACTTTAACAGTTAGCACCACGGAATTTAAATACTAGTAGATTTTTTTTTCCTTCTTTGGGCCTGTTCTGTATGATAGGAAGAAAAATAAATAAAAAAGGGACTTCTTAACCCACCTGGAACGTAAATGTCATTGATTTATATTCTTTCCATGTAAGTCCAGAATTTGGATCTTCCCGTCTTCTTAAAATTGCCTCATGTTCTTCCTGCCGGGGGGGTATACAGAGCATGTCAATTGGGGTAGCAGTATAGGATTGGATAAAAAAATGGTGTTTTTTTTTGTTTTGTTTTGTGTGTGTGTGTGTGTGTGGAAATGCATTATAGTCACTGACCGTTAATTCCCTGAGCACCAAAGGATGGTCCAGAAGAAATTTGGTGGCCATAGTTAGAGCCAGGGAAGTCGTCTCAAAGCTAGCAAACAGTAGCACAAACATTAAATCCAGAGCGATAGCCTCTGTGAGGAGTGTATCGTCTTTCCCAAGTTCTTCAAGGACGTAATCAAAGAAATCACTTTGCTGCTCCCTAGGCTTTGGCCGTCTTTCCTGTAACATGTTCTTCAACATCCTCATTGCCTTCTTCCTTCCCTGAACAAACTCAGACAAGTCAAAACCAATGGACCAAGTGTCACAGAATATAATTATCAGTGGTAAGTGTTTGTTATCTTACAACCCAGATTAACATGAAAGGTTTTGATATACCTGTAAACACTTGTGGTATGCAGTTCCAGGAATATTCATAGGGAAGGAAATTAATCCTTGTATGAAAGCAACAAAATTCTCTCTCAGATTCTCAGATGACTTTTCTGGATCGTAACTAATCAGTTTCTTTGCAGTCAGATCAAATATCATCTGTAATTGAACATTAAATTATCTTAAGAATTCATTCAATCAACAAAATCTTAGTGAATTTGGATCACAAGAAGTAGTGGTTATTGGTTAGCCTGAACTTACACTTGCAGTAGAGTCCTTTAATTCAACAGACTCCTTACCCGACCACCTGTTCAAGTTTCTACATGCTGCCTGTTCAACTTCCGGGAGCATCTTTTTAAGGCTCTCAGGACCAAATAAATTTAGCACCATATTCTTGAGGTACTTGTACATGAACCCATGTAGGGAACCCACATTTTGTCGTCCAAAGATCTCTGTGAAGGTATCTGGGTACCAACTCTGGAATAATTGCCCCTCTTTTTGAAAGATAAAATGACTAAGTTCCGGGTCTGTCGATATAATAACTGGCCGTCCCACCAAACTTGTTCGGAATATTGGACCATATCTAAAAAAGTAACAATAGAACATGTTATAACAAGATAAACATTGAGGATGATGATGCTGTTGGTGATGTTGTATTACCTTTCCATCCGCTTTTTGATGAAAGGAGGAATGTCGGATGAACGGTTGGGGGTGAAGAACTGAAGAGTCTCGCCGAGGAATGGCAAACCCATTGAACCTGGCGGGAGTTCTCCATTGCATCTAGGATTCCTCCACCTGTAAACCCAGCGGGTGATGCTTATGATAACCAAAGCTACAATGCACAAAGCAACTGGCCCCATATTTACTTTTAATGAATAGAGGGAAAGCAAGAGAAGATCTTGAGTTGAGGGAAGAATTAAGAGAAGAGAATGAAGAGAAGAAAGTGCTGGCATGCATCTGAGAGTTCATGAGGGGACACTTAAATAGGCAAGCTAGAATTCATAAGATGGATAGAATAATAGAATTAAGTTGGCTGTCTTAGTTATTGTGAAGTTGGTTGCTCAAAAAGCTGTACAAGTAGTTGGAGAAAAGAATACAATAATATAGGTAGAATAATTTTGTCTAGAGACCACCCATTATCTTTTGTCAACGCCATTTATAAAAATCTGTGTAAAAAGCCTAGCATGACGATGAAGCTTACACGATGTTTCCTCTCTCTCTGGTTTTATTTGTTTATTAACAGTACATAAAACACAAAACTGAAGGTAAGCAATTTTCTGTACCAAAAATTCTTTTCCAATGTCCCCAATACACTCTCAGTTGCACGATCGCATTGTACTCAAGATTTACGTACTTTGAGATTCCCACCGCATCGTATGATTGAGAGTGCATTGGAGACAAGGGATAGTGGGTTTTGGGGACGGAGGATCCCTAACTGAAACTGAAGGACCACGAGGCAGAAATGTGGCATTTTTTAGGTAGTTTCTGCAGAAACTGAGGGGCTCTCTCCTAGATTTGAAAAGATAGAGGTTCAAAGGATCTGTCTGACTGACTCAACTAAGTATGAAACCAATCTTCAATGTATCATTAAATTATAGAATCTAGTGTTTCAACAACTTAATAAATCCTTGCCTTATCTATGCCAAATACTATAGTATCTATGTGAAGTTGATATCATGAGGGATGCCACGCATGTTGATCTTGTCTCTTTCATTTTTCTTCTTTGTTTTTTTGGGAATTAGATCTCTTCCTAGATCTTCTTTAGCTGTACTCCTAATCTCTTGTCTAATACTGAAATCTCCCTTACATCAGTAGTTATTTTTAGTGTGGTGCTGTTGATATGCCTACAACTACTGTATATGCTTTTGTTTTTTTTACTCCCATTAATTATTTAATTAATTTTTTTTATAATTGACAATATTGTAGGTAAGAAAACGTTGATTAATCAGTTTTGAGCTTAATTTAACCGATTTCGACACGAAGCACCACCCCCACTGGCCCTCTGAGCCATGGGCTCAATCCTGTCAACAACTATTACAATGTAAGTAAGCAAGGCTGATTAATCAGTTTTAAGCTTAATTTTAACTGATTTTGACACATAGAGCACGACCCCCACTGGTCCTCTGATCCATGGGTCAATCCCATCAACAAATATTACAATGTAGGTGGGTTACTGTATTGTGGCTAACACAATATTGGAAGACGTTTCATATACAGGAAAGGAATTTAGGCACTGTTCATCAGGTCTAAAAACATGATCATGGGATCCTAAAACCTTGTCTGGTTCTGGGTTTTGTGATACTTTTTAACAACTCGTGTGCGGACCATTAATGGTGGTCAAAAGGAACATTTTAAATATTGTGAAAGAACTATACTGTGCTGGATTTTCAAAAAATTAGTCATTGCATTTAATATATGAAAAATCCAGGTTTTTCCTTTTCCTGATTCTGTTTCCGTTCTTTTAGCTTTTAATCTTAAATGGTCATTAATTAGCAGAGAAGAATCCAAATTGTTAAATGGATTGCTTAATAGGATGACATAGATTGCTTAGCTGCAAGGCAAGGGTTTGGAAAGGGTCTGCCTTAGGGGTGCACAACAACGACAGCTCATTTTAGCCCTTATTTTGGAACTTAAACAATTCCATATTATACATGTGTTTGGCAAGTGGGTTTGCAGGCTTTTTTGGCTATTTTAGCCACAAAAAATAAAATAGGCTATTTTAGCCATAACAAACAAAACATCACATTCAACTCATAATCATTACATTCTTTTCTCACAAAAAAACTCAAAAAAGCCAAAAAGCCAAAAAGTCCTTCCCAAACCAAACTTTTAAACCCAAGCTAAAATAGCCAAAAAAGTCAAAAAGTCAAAAAGTCAACCCACTTCCCAAACGGAGGCATAATAACACTTTCTAAAACTTAAAAGTGGTGCTATGAAGTCAAGTTCTCTTTACACTTATTTTATTACCTGTGGAATTTCTCATGTCTGGTGAGTGGGTTTGGACTTATTGGGGTCCTACCTGTCTTGATTGCAGAATGCATTAATCTATTGCTAGGAACCCACATGCAGAGGACCCATATTAGGAGAAACTAACGTGGCCACAAATGGATGGTGGAGATCTATTTGTGGCAGTATTGTGAGCACCACTGAATAATTTTCACCACATTAGGGTGGAGATCACACATGTTGGTTGGATGGGATGATTAGCCTCTTACCAATATACTGCTTAAGAGTATTGATCTATGCAAGTTCTAGGCTTGGATCATTACTGAATAGTTGATTGGTTCTTATCTCTTTGGATGTGCTTTAAGGGACCTTATTATGATTTACCCTCAAGAATTTACGGCAAAGGCGAAGAAGAGAAATCGAAATCAGAAAAACACACCAACATAGAAGAATTTACGTGGATTGGCAATATGCTTATGTTCACGTGCGAAGAATGATGTGTGAAGAATGACAAAGGAGTTTCACTATGAACGTAGATATTACAATGAGTCAGTTCTCTCTCTCCTAAATCCTATTCACAACCTAGAACCCCGAAATAACCCAATATAATACATAAGTATCTGAAAGTAGTAAATTGGATCAAAATAGACTCAAATAGAAAGAATGGGTTGGGTGTCATTAGTCCATTAACCGGATCGTGCAAGTTGTCAACGAGTAATAAGCATCATTTGAATTGAATTTGAGACACACCCACAACAGTTGCTCGCCTCATCTTTGCATCCATGATAGTTAAAAGTGGAGTGGGATTAATTAGGACACCATGGGATCATTTTTCTGAATATCCTTCGTCCCTGTATCAAACTTGCTCTTTACTACATGATTTAGAGTTTAAATAAAATATAGGCAAAATGCTAGGTTTATTAAATAAAATACACTCTTGACTTGCCTTTCAAGAGATTGATCTAGTCCAACCATGCCAACCATGCCACTAAGAGCATCCACAATGTGTTAAAAACGTGTATTAAGGTGTGTTATATGACAAAAAGTGATAAAAGTGGGGTCTAAAAATGTGTGTTAAAAGCTTGTTAATTTTAGAAAGTGAGTGGTGGTGCAATGAATATGTTAAAGTGTGTGTTAAGAATATATATATATATATATATATATATAATAAAAACATATACAGTGTCACCTTTCTTGACCCCCACTAGTATCAAATTCCCCACTTTATAATAATTGTATCCACAATACACCAAAATCATCCATTACAAACCACATATATGTGTCGATATCTATATATATATATAGAGGGAGAGAGAGAGAGTAGAGATACCTTGGAGGACTTCTCTGGGAGGAGAATACCGATGGCAGTCTTGGAGGGAGGGACGATCTTCTCCACCAGAACTTTGTTAAATTTTGGGATCAAATGCTTCGCCATTTTGCTTATTCCCTCAACTCTTTTGCCAAAATTAGGCTAGCGCTCTCTCTCTCTCTATGTATATCTCTGTGTTTTGGAGCAAGGGTTCGGACGTCCAACCGGACGACTGGTCGGACATTCGGCCAGACGACCTTACTATTTCTCTTTCTCTCTCACTGGCTAGAACGTTGGCTGTACACATAATTTAGCATCTGATACTAGTTTTGAGCACTAACATTACCCTTAACAATTCTATTGCAACACCAAACAACACACTTAGCTGGCTAAAACTAGACATCTGACACTAACATCATTCTTAATTTGTCCATTGTGGATGCTCTAATAATTGTATTAGGGATAACAACACCAATAATTATTATTTTGCAGGTTTGAGGTTATCTAACAAGTTGACATGCCCTCAAGCTCATATGAGAGTGAAGTTATGATTTATATATATAAATATGTGCCCCTTCCATTTCAAAACATTAGTTTCTTATTCTATTTTTTATTATCTCCAAATATTAGTTCTTTTTTAAAAATTAAGAAATAAAATAATATAAATTTATTATTTTGTTTTTCTTTTAAATTTATTAATAATACAAAAAGTATAGATACAAAAATATAATTATGACAATTGATATTCTTAAAAAAAATATACTATCAAAAAATAATATTAAAAAATTAATATTTTTAAAATATAATAATTATACTATTGAAAAAAGTTAAATTTTTTTGAGAGAAATTATTATTTTGAGATTGCCACTAATAGAAAAGTACAAATAGTAGTAACAATTATTATAGATGCCTCAGGTTAGGCCAAGGCGACAAGTTCGAGGACAAAGTGAAGTGGTTCTTATTGTCTGTGCTAAGCGCATCGGGAATATGTATTATTAAATATTTTAACCACAAAAGCAGTGATATCAGTCAAATGGTCATTGGCCCTGTTTGGTAGAACTGTGAAAAAGTGCTTATAGCTTATGCCTAAATAGCTTATAGTTTATAACTATGAACATAAGCTGATTTATGACTTATAAATTAAGCATCTCCTGTCCCACTCAAAGAATAAGCTGATTTCTGACTTTCAAAAAGCTATAAGTTATAAACTATAAGCTAAACCAAACACATCAAAATAGTTTAAATTAAGCTGAAAGCTGAAATAAGCAGCTTTTAAGCTGCACCAAACAGGCACAATAGCTTTATCAATTCCGCTACAGACCCTCAGTGGGGTTCGCACCTCCAGTGAGGTGTCGTGTCTTTATTGGTCGAAATTCAAAAAAAAAAAAAATAATAATAATAATAATTTTTTTTGACCCAATCACGGACTGCCACCTCACTGGAGGTCCGAAGCATTTTTCTTAGTTTTATACAGCCAACTCTTTATTTAGCTGTTGTTTATCAATTAGTTAAAAAATTATTATAAATTGTTATATATTTTTATTTTTTTATATATTTTTATATAAGATTAAAAGTTATTAAAATAATATATTTCTAAGCGGGACTTTAATAGGCTTTAGCATGTGATTAGCTAACTATTGTATGTGTGTAGTTTGTAGGAGAAGCCAGACACAATAAAGTCATTTGGAAATTCCACCCAGATTTTGTAAATATAACCTGAGTTTTAAGAAAGAAAGAAATTGAAAGAGAAAATGTTTTATCATAAAAGGAAAATAAATAATAATTTGAGTACTATTGAGATGTGAAATATGTGGGGTATTGCGAAGCTTTTGATGAGAAGATTGAGAATCTACAAAGGTAGATCTAAAATCATAGTATGTGGGATAACATTGTGTGTTTGACTCTTCCCAAACCCGCAATGGCAGGATTGAACTTTGTACACTAAGCTGCCCCTTCTATGGCACGAGAACATAATTAACTGAGCTGCCCAACCAACTATGCAAATATACATAGCATAAAGTTTAGGATTATATTGATAAGAGAATCATTAGTTGATCTGATCTAATTATTCTACAGGAGTTTGATTTGATTATGCAATCTCTGTATCATCTATCTATACTATTATATGAGCATTGGATTTAGTGTCCAAGTATTTGGTGGCTTCTCATTCTGTCATGTGTCCTTTATTTTCTAATTAAAAAAAAAATAGATAAACAAGACTCGAACCTTAGATTTTGAATTCATCAAATAAGACCTTTACCACTACACTAGCACACAATGGCCTATTTTGAAAACTC